ATCACCCTGGCCCCAGTTTGCAGACTTGTAAGAAGGTTTTCAGGAAGGAGACCGAATACTCAAGGTGACATAAATGTAGTATGTAGAATAATCTGTTTTTAAAACAAGTAATATGAAACATGCATATGTAATATATAATTTTATCTATACTTACAACGTAGCTGGATATTCCTTATCCTCAACTGTACAGACAGTCAGAGGTGTGATCTCCTTAATAGTGAATTTTTATTCTGTGTGTCTGTAATGTAGTGGGAATTCACTGCATTATTATAATGCACGATATAAATGCAGTATAAAATTGCTCTTTATGCTAATAGCATCCAGTTAAACTAAACACGAAGGAGTGAAATCTCACAATTAAGGAGTCAATTTTATGTCCTAATTTTTAAAGAGACTAAAGACTAATAGATCTAATGGGATTCTTTCCTTCCCATTTTCCGACCCCAGATTGCCCCACCTTGCTCTCCTGAATTGCACGTTACTTTCTCTCCATTAAGCCTCTTTCTAGTCTAATTCTAAATCCCTGCCCAGTTCAAAGTTGAAACTGGGACTCTTAATTTTTCCTTGAAACTGGTACTCTTAATTTTCATTTCACCATGGGAAATTAATCTATTTATTGAAGGTTGTTTTCGTTTGCAATATTAATTTAGACATTTGAGAAAGTCATTTTTGTTCTGTTCATTAAAATGGCAGGTGATCATATATTAAGAATCCTTAATTCTGACACTTGATTTCCTCTTGTTTATTTAAAAAAAAAAATCAGGCCAAATTCTCTTCATATCCTTTCATCCCCCATCTCAGCCAGATTAACCTTCTGAAGAGCAGAGTTACTCCTCCTGAGAGCTGTGTGGAAGCTGCACCTTCGGTAGTCAGGTGTTGCTTAGTCCCGAGTATCTGCCTGCAGTTCCGGAGGGTCGGGTTCGATAAAGGCACAGTTTCCTGGGCTGTCGGCTTCACCTTGTGGAGCTGTACACGGCTGCTGTCCTTCTCGGACTGTCCTTCTCGGAGTTTCCACCAGCCTCCCCTGCACTTCACGAGCAAGCTAAGATGCTAGTCAGATGGCAAGATATCAAGCTGCGACCATGCTCTAGAAAAGCAGCAAGAGGAACTGCATTAAGTAGGATGTGAATGCAGGTGTGCAGACCAGCACCCCTGAGGGAGACCCCATCGGGGGGCTGGTCTGGACCTCAGTTCAGAGATAGAGCCACAGATTTGTGATATTATTGAAGGAGAGTTGTGACCTGTAGGGGAAAACCCTGAAAAAAATATAATTTGTGTGATAATTAAGTTTTAATATCACCCAAAATATCTTCTTATAAAAATAAATAGTCGCGTGGAGGATTTGGAGGAACTTGGTATTCCAGGAGGGGTTTTTTTTTTCTTGGCAACTCTGAAATGCTTGCTGTGACCTCACATCTCAGCTGTATCCGCATCCAGCGATCAGAATTCAGGAAGCCCGTGATGTTTCCTAGGTGGCATGTCCGTTTGCCATGCAGTTTTAGACCATATTTTTTGTTTCACCTTTTGTATAAGTAAGGTAGGTTTTTCTAGCGTTGCAATTTTTTTTGTAGGGCGTATAAAGCCACTCAGACTCACAAGTGCGCTTCCCAGTGAACAGGAGAAGAGAGCTAGTGTGTGTAGTTTTCCAAATTCCATGCCAGGGCTTAAATCCCGTGACACCTCTGAATTTTCCCCTAGAAGAAGCCAGGCCGAACCATAATCACGATTTGAGCGTTCTCCGACTCATCTCTTGCATACGAAATCACTTGGAAAAGAAAGAGATCTAATTTTGCCTTAACCGTAAATAAGTTCCATCTCAATTCCACTTTAAACAACCCCCAAATTCAGGAGCCAAAACAAACCAACCAACCAAAAGCCAAAACCGAACCATCTCTTGGCTTCTGGCTCTCAGCGGCAGAGAAATCACCGATTGGACGCCCAGTGTGTGACCAAGTGCTTCCTAGCGCACGCTCGCCTCGCTTTCCCCAGGACCTAGGGCCATTTCTTTCTGTGACCATTTCAGTGAGCTGCCATAGTTTCCAGTCTGTACCGTCACCCCCCACCCCCCCACCGAGCATGCGCCTCACGCCCACCGTGTCCTGGCTCCCATCTGCGCGATCTGCTTGGCCAAACCCTCCGTCCCCTGAGCTTCTGCTTCAGCCCAAGCCCAGACTTGAGATCTTCTCTGGAGTGTGTGGACACGCTGCCATTCGCTTCCGTGGCTCCCCTGTCCCGTAGCTCTCTAGCTTGTAGGGGACCTGTCAGTACCTCGGTACCACATGGCACCCTCCCGTGCACTCGCGTGGCTCATGTGTCCGGATCCAGGCTGCTTGTGAATTGTCAGAGAGTATGGATGCTCTACTTGCGCTGCATTCAGCTTTTCTTTTTCTTTTTTTTTTCTCCCCACCCCCCCCCCCCCCTCCAATCAGCCACTTATTCTTTCATAGTGTTTGATTTAATGATCTGGTTATTTTTTTTTTTAAAGTGTTATACCAAGGTAAGTTTTACACGAACGAACTCTGTACTCGATGTGGTTACCTGTATCTCATATTGATGATGACATAGTTTTCCATTTAGACATGCTGACCATTTCTAAATCGATTTTGATTTCAAATAAAGAGCCAGCTTCATGGTCTTTTCATGTAAAAGCAATGCGATAGATTATTTTCAGTGGAATCAATTTTTTTTTTTTTAAAAAAAGAGGACAAGCTCTCCTGGGTAATTTGTAGTGCAGATGGAGGCAAGTCTAATAGGAGAAAATTTGCTTTTTTTTTTTATTATAGATATACAGTATATAGTTTTTTTTTTGCCTTAGCAAGCAATATTTTAAACCTCTCAGAATGTTTTCAGTAGTAAACAGCAGCATCTGCTCGTCAAGAGAAGTCAGACTTCCTTTTATACATCTCCAGGAAATTATTTTCTAATCCTCCTTTTTGACTGTGTGTGCTGCATGTTTTCGTAGAGTCCTAAGTAACTTGCTAGTGTAGCGCGGCTGCCCGGGCCCTAGGTGTCTCGTGCTGCAGAGGCTCGAGTTTGGGAAGGACAGTGTTGATGGAGTAAGTAGCTCGCCCACTCCCTCGAGACGCCGGCATGCCTGGGAAGGAGACAGGTGGGTCCTAAGGGGGATTTTGTGAATCGGTTTTGATTTGGGGGACCACGCCCTGGCGCTGCTCTGGGCTGCCTCCTGGCTCTGCACGTGGGGGTCACTCCTGCCAGGCTCCAGGGGCCAGATGTGGTGCCGGGGACGCAGCTGGGGTCGGCCACGGGCAGGGCCTTGCCAGCTGCAGCTGGCCCCCGAGGAGGGATTTTTTGTAGTCAGTTTTGGCACGCGGGGTCAGGAGATGCAGACATCCTTTGCCACGTCGGGGGCGTGCAAGTTAGGGTCACCTAATTGCATTTCGTGAGACCGGCGACTCAGCCCTGCCTTGTCGTCCTCTAGTTCTTTTCCTTCTTCATTTTATCTTGGACTTGGATCTTCTCCTCAGCCTGCTGGAGTCTGCATTTCTTTCCTTTTCCTCTGAAAGACGCGTCAGGATAGCTCTGTCTTGGACCCCAAACTTGAATCCAAGAACTGGCTGGCATCCCTTGTAGTCACGGCTTTTGATCTTCTTATGTCCCCCCGTTCCTTCCCCGGGGAGGAAACAAAAGTCCATCGTAGGATTTTGAGCAATAACAGGCCTTTTACCTTTCCTTTACTTTGCTGTCTTCAGTATTTTACTAGTGAGTATGATTCTTATTTATTTTACTTATTCTAAAAAGCATTTTGAGAACTGCATATATATTGATAGAAATGGAAATGAGATGGTTGTACTTCAGGGGATTTTATTGTTTTTTTTTTTTGTTTTTTGTTTTTTTTTTTTTTGGTTTGGGTCTTTTTTGTTCTGTTTTGGGCATGCCCGGTGATGCTCGGGGCCTGCTCCTGGCAGGCTTGAGAGGGACCCTGTGGGTTGCCAAGGATCAAACCCGGGTCGGCCACATGCAAGGCACGTGCCCTCCCCCACTGTACAATCGCTCCAGCCCCTCCAGTTTTCATAGTGCCTTTTACGTGGAAAATTTACAGTGTGAACTTAGCATCTTATTCAATTTTTTCCCCCCGTTTCAAAATATTCCCAACTGGAATAGGCCACAAAATAAAGAAGTACAGACTATAAAAACTATTTCTGTTTTGAATGTGTTTGCACATAAGACATCCCAATGATTTGCAGCTGCTGTTTACAGAAGTTTGCAGCTGGCGTGAGTGGGCTGGGAGACTGAGGCAGATCCTTCATTCCTGACACTCCCTGAGAAGCAATTCTGGACGCCCCCAGCGGAAGTGAAACACAGTTCTGTGTTTCACAGACGGTTTCTCAGTCACAGAGCCGGAACGGAGTCTGTAGTGTTCTCTCTGAAATCTGCCCCTCTGTACATGAATGAAAATATTTGCATTAACGTTTTAATTGTTTTGCCTTCGGTTTTTGAATGGGCTAGTCCCTTTATTTCTTGTCACCTTAGACCCACGCCGCTCTAACGGAGGGGACAGTGGCTTTCTCTCTTGTCATGTCAGTGCATCTTTGCCTTTGGAAAGAACCCACACTGCAGTGAATTGTCAAATACAGAGACTGTGAAGTAAGAGCACGCCTTAGGTGCATGAATCAGCTAATTATTTTAAGATCAGAACTCGAAACCGTGGGGGCTCCCTTTCAAGTTGTAGCTAATAAAATATCCTATACATGCCCCTTATGGTTGCAGAATAGAGCTAGGTGGTTTGTGTTCCAGCAGTCAGATTGTAAAATGTGGGTTTTTTTTTTCTTTTAGATTTTTACTTTTTTTTTTTTTTTTTTAAGAGTAGCATTAAATTTAAGTGTTAATAAGTTTTTGGAGAAGTAGCATTTTAGTAACGGCAGCTTTAAACTCGGTTCTAGAGCACGACTCCTTTGCCTTCCAGAGAATGTTTAAGCATTTCTTGTTCATACAGACAGCGTGCCGTGGAGTAGTGAACTGATTTAAAATTTATTTTTCAGATGAACCCGAAACTCGAGATGCCTGGTGGGCAGAAATCAGGCAAGAAATAAAATCCCACGCCAAAGCGCTTGGCTGTCACGCTGTGGTGGGCTACAGTGAATCCACTAGCATCTGGTAAATGACGGTCGTGGGGTCGCCGTGTGCCCTGCTCCGTGCTGTGCTTTTTGGGCTGCCGTCGCGCGGGCAGGGAGGAGCTGGTTGGGGGGGGTGGGGGGGGGTGGGGGGGGGGCAGGCTGTCAGCCAGGAGAGGCCGTTGTGGCCACGTCGTTGCTTGGAAACTCTGGGAAAGTGTGGCTTCACTCCTCCCAGCCCTGACTCATTGCTGAAATTGAGACAATAATCTCCTGTCGCGGAATGTGTTTGGTGGAGTGAGAAGTAGGAGCCACATAGGAAGTAGCTCATTGCCGGCGCACCGGCTTCTTGCTTAGAATTTGTCTTTTTTTTGGCTTTTTGTGTCACACCCGGCGATGCTCAGGGCTTACTCCTGGCTCTGCACTCAGGAATTACTCCTGGCGGTGCTCCGAGGACCATCTGGGATGCTGGGAATCGAACCCGGGTCTGCCGCGTGCAAGGCAAACGCCCTCCCCGCTGTGCTATCGCTCCAGCCTTGCTTAGAAATTTTCAGTGATGAAGAGTTCTTGCCCTGTGCATTTTGGTGGTGCCGTGCAGTGTCACCTTTTCTGCCAGGGGGACGGTCCTTCAGTGCCATTGCATCCTTAGCAGTGCCTAGCTTGCATTTGGATTGCTGCCTTGTAAGCTGCAGTTTCCTCCACGCCTGACGCGTTCCCTTGTCTCTTTCTCTTTTCTAGCGAAGAGGTCTGTATTCTCTCTGCATCTGGTACTGCGGCTGTCCTGAACCCTAGATTTCTGCAGGACGGCACCGTGGAGGGCTGTTTGGAACTGAGGTGGTCACGGCTGCGGGCAGAGGGGAGAGGTGGACGGTGCGGGGGGCGGGCAGCGGAGAAGTGGGGGTTCGGGCCATGCTGCGCTTGCCACTGTCATAGTCTTGGGGAGTGGCGCGCACTCTTTGCTGAGGAACTGCAGGTACGATCTGCAGGAACTGCACCTCGTCTGTCAGAATCCAAGTGCTTTCTTTCACCTCTTGGCTCTTCCTGTCTTCTCTGTCTTCCCTCCAAAACACAGGTCGTGAAGCATTTTTTTTTTTTGTTTTTGTCCTGTAAAAGATAAGAATTTTACTTTCTGATTTTAATACATGAAATGATAATTTCATGAGAACGAACAACTAAGCGAGTACCCCAGGGCAGGCAGAGGTGTGTGTGTGTGTGTGTGTGTGTGTGTGTGTGTGTGTGTGTGTGAGAGAGAGAGAGACACACCCCGGCTCCCCAGCCACGGTTCCCTTGGGTAAAATGAAATTGCATATTTTTTAATTTTAGAGGAGGATGGTGTGTGTGTGTGTGTGTGTGTGTGTGTGTGTGTGTGTGTGTGTGTGTGTGTGAAGCCCCAGCTCCTGCCTGGTCACAGTCTCCTCAGGACGGCGGGGTAGGAGGAGACAGTCAGTCTGCAGGAAGCCCGTTTTCAGTACATCTGTGTGAGACGTCTTGTGAGGGCTTGGGCGTGTTTAGAGACTGAACCCAGAGCTCCTGCTCGGACTCCCCTCGGCTCCACTCCTGGGTGTTGGTTGCCTCGGCCTTCACACCTGAAGATACAGGCCATCCTCACATGGAACTCTGTGAACAGGCTGACTGCGCACACGCTTGCCAGTCTCGCAGCCCGCAAGGGCGTGTGCTGCTCTGTGTGTGAAGCGGGTCTCAGGCTCCTCAGAAGTTCTCAGTCGTCAGAAATCGGAAAAATTGAAGTATGCTTAATTTTGATTTTTTTAACAGTTTTTTTAAAAATATGTTTTTAGTCTTAGTTTTCCAAATTTTAGGTGGAAAGATGATTTTTGCTTAAAATTTTGGAAATTCTGTTTTGTGTTATTTTGTGTTTTGTCAGTAGGGAAATGTCACCCTTAGTCAGTCTTTGCTGTTATGTGTCCCAGGTTAATAACTGCAGACAGTAGTGGTTTTTGTCGAGTCGGAAGTAGTCAGATATCAGATGACTCGATGAGTTCGTGACAGTCGACTGCTTCTACAGTCTCTGCCTCTCCTCGACCACGGTGTTCCTCATCTCCCGTCCTTCTATTCCTTCTCAGGGTGGTCCCCTTCAGCCTGTGGGGTGGGCCACCCTCCAGCTGGGGGATTGAGCACTGCAGATGTCCGTATGTGTTTCTGGAAAATGCGTAGAAGTTTGAAGAATCCTCCTGTCTGTCTTCATCTTCTCCTATAGGCTGGAGGAGAACCTGCCTGCAGGCTGCGGGTTCTGCCACATTCCCTACGATGAGCTGAACATGCCTTTCCCGGCTCACCTCACCTACTGCTACAACTGCCGGAAACAGAAGGTGCCGGATGTCCTCTTTACAACCATAGACCTCCCCGTGGACGCCGCGGTCATCGGGAAGGGCTGTCTCATCCAGGCGAGGTGTGTTCACGCAGACTCAGCTCTGCTGTCCTCGAGAGACCGTGGAGTCTGATGCCGGATAGATCGGTTTTCAGATGCTGTGTGTTTTATTATTAACCTGGGAGGAAGTCAGTGTCTCTGTCTCTCTCTGTCTCTCTCTCTCCCTCCCTCTCCTTTCCTCTCTCTCTCCTTCCTTCCTTGCTTCCTTCCTTCCTTCCTTCCTTCCTTTCCTTCTTTCCTTTCCTCCCTCCCTCCCTCCCCTCCCCTCCCCTCCCCTCCCCTCCCCTCCCCTCCCCTCCCCTCCCCTCCCCTCCCCTCCCCTCCCCTCCCCTCCCTCCCTTTCTTTCTTTCTTTCTTTCTTTCTTTCTTTCTTTCTTTCTTTCTTTCTCCCTTCCCCTTCCCCTTCCCCTTCCCCTTCCCCTTCCCCTTCCCCTTCCCCTTCCCCTTCCCCTTCCCCTTTCCTTCTTCTCCATGTGATTCACATGCAGCCTCGGCAACTGGCTCGCAGCTTAGGGCCTTTCCGTGCTCTTCCCTGTGCCTCGTGGTGTGTCCGTCCAGCCCTCCCCCCCCCCCCACCCCGGTTCTGCCCTCTACCCCCTCCCCTGGGTGGCTGTGAGCAGTGCCCTAACATAGGAAATGAAGCGTCTCACATCTGGTTCATCACCTCACACGGTGCTGGGCACAGGACGGATTCTCGAGTCCCGAGGGATCGTGGGGTGGGGGAGGGGAGGGGGAGGGGCCACGGCCGGGGTGGACGGAGAGGAGCGACCCTCCACAGTCACAGCGGCTCCACAAGACCAAATGAGGTTTCCCCGTGATTTCCATCATAGGAATTTTGAGGTCATTTCCTTTGCGTGTTAAATGGGCTTTTAACTGCAGCCTGTAAAGTGAGAATAGGGGTCAGGAGCTTCTAAGGCCCTTGTCAGTCCTTTTGGGAAGAGCGACGTTCTGGCCGGAACCCTTTCCAAGGCGGCCATCCACACGGAGCTCCGTCTCTCTCCTCCCGAGCAGGCTGTGTCGCCTGAAGAAGAAAGCGCAGGCGGAGGCCAACGCCACGGCCATCAGCAACCTGCTGCCGTTCATGGAGTACGAGGTGCACACGCAGCTGATGAACAAGCTCAAGCTCAAGGGCATGAACGCGCTGTTCGGGCTCCGGGTCCAGATCACCGTCGGCGAGAACATGCTCATGGGCTTGGCGGTGAGTCGGGCCGGCCGGCCCTTGGCAGGAGATTCTGTGTCGTGCGATGAAAAGCGTCGTTCAAGGAACGGGTCACAGGCCGCCAAGAATCAGGAACAGCCCCGGACGCTAACGAAGGGGTGCTGGGCCCCCGGGATGCGCTAGTCCGTGACTGTGTCCGCAGCACCCCTGGAATTCCTCACGTTCGAGACTTAGTCCCCCTCAGTGGTGAGCCGGTGTCTGGGGGGGCCTCGAGCGGGGTCTTGGTCTCTGGCGGCAGCTGCCATTGGAGCGTTGTGGTGACCGTTTGCCGCTGAGCTCTGGGCTCCCGTGGGAGCTGGGCTGTGCTGCATTCACACCCCAGAGGGAGGGGCCCCAGGGGCTGGTCCCTGAGCCCTGCAGGGTGTGACCTTGAGGGGCGGCTCCTGTTCCTCTCCTTTGCTGGTCGGACTTCATGCTTCTGTCACGGTTCGCCTGACTTCTTCCAGCACGTTGGACCGTGATGGCACACGGGGACACGTGCAGACACACACACACGGGCACGGTTTCTTCTTGGTTACTGCTCCCCCTCCGAGTTTCCCGGTATTGCTGGTAGATTAGTAGTGTCGTCAGGTCAGTACTTAATAATCATTTAATGATTTAAAATCTGTAGGAGGCAAAGTAATTTTGTTCTGGGTAATTTTGGAGATAGTCCAGGGTAGGAAAATCAGGTTTCAGAGTGAGGGACAGATGGATGAACGTTTCTTTTATATATATACATTTTTTTGCCTGTGATCTTGAATGAATTTCATTTCCTTTCTGATATTCCTTTTCTTCCTTCATTTGCTTTGTAAATGTTTTTCTTCACATTTCCTCCCCCCCCCCCCCCCTTTTTTTTTGGTGTGGGCAGGGGTTGGGCCACACCCAGGGATGCTCAGGGCTTATACCTGGCTTTGCCCGGGCATCTCCCCTGGCGGGGCTCAGGGCACCATTTGTGGTGTCAGGGATCACCTGGGTCAGCTGCACGGAAGCACCCACCAACCCTCTGGCCCACACTTGCCACTGTTAGAACTGGAGCGTCTGCTCCGGCCGGGTGGGCCTGACAGCGCAGTCCCCATGTGCAGCTCTGTGGGGGCTGACGCAGAGACTTGGAAACGCACAGACGGGCCTGCTCCTCCTTGGGATATCTACGTAGCCCAATAATTTTCTTTTCTCTTCCTTCCTTCCTTCCTTCCTTCCTTCCTTCCTTCCTTCCTTTCTTTTTTTCTTTCTACGTAGCCCAATAATTTTCTTTTCCTTCCTTCCTTCCTTCCTTCCTTCCTTCCTTCCTTCCTTCCTTCCTTCCTTCCTCCCTCCCTCCCTCCCTCCCTCCCTCTCAGGAGTCACTCCTGGCTCAGGAATTACTCCTGGTGGGGCCCAGGGGCCGCATGGGATGCCGGCTATCTAGCCCTGATTGGCCTCGAGCAAGGCGAGGGTCCTGCTTGTACTATGGCTCCACCCCACACCCCCTCCCCAACAATTCCCTGTTAGCTACTGTAGGATAACATTGGTTTCTTCTTTCTCCCTGGCCGCAGGGAGCTTGGGTTTATTGGATTACACCCATCACAGTGCGCCCAAGACACTCCCATTCCTCTGTGTTTGTCTTTAACTTCTCCTCTGCGCTCTGCTTCCCCTGTCCGTGACTCACCTGAATCCCCAAATCAGACCCTGTGACTTGTAAGGTCAGATTCTTCTAAGGACTCTGGATTTTAGTATTTGTAAGTGAAATATTGCTTTTTCTCTTTCCATGGTTTACTTTAGAGCAATGTTCTTTCTTTATAGACACAGGAAGACAGTTCATTCTATGCTTTTGTAACTTGGGAGATAATTGACTCCAAAGAATGTTCACTCCTGGGCCTCTGTCATATTCACTCGACTTAAGCATCAGTTGCTCTTAGTTCCTAGCACTCCAAAAGCAGGGCCCCGGCGAAGGGACCAGATAGACCCAGGGTAAGCTGTAAGCTATCCTGGCATCAAAACGGGACAAACCAAGCACCGTAAACCTTTCAATAAGTTAACAGCATGGTCATAGGCAAATTCTGCCATGACCCTAAGAGAAAATACTGAATTAGGACCTTTCTAGGCTTAAGAAGGACTAATCTGGCCTGACCACTGTAGGCTGGGATCTGTGTAGCGAGATGTCCCCTGAAGAGCCATCCTCTAAGCTTAATATGTCTCTTACTTGCGCCCATACAAAATGACTAATATTATTGAGAAGGAAACTTAAGATGATCGTTTATGTGGATATGAACGAAGGAAAGGAGAAATACGCCCTTAGATGAAATTCTGCCCTTGAGCGGATCTCCTAGCAGGATGAGAGATCTTTGTCTTAGAAGAGCGTCCCTGGAAGGAAGGCCCTCACGAATGCTGATTGTGGTACCGCACCTATGTGGAGTTGCTACCCCCAGTCTTGGAGATGGATGGTGTGTGTTGAGTGGATGACCCAGGTGCTGAGACTGGGGAGGAGGGACACTGGGACACTAGCATGGGGGAGGGGGGGTAGTGGGAGAGAGGAATGAGGGGCGTGGGAGGCTCAGAGAGATTGGAATAGGCGCGCGGGGAGAAGGGAGTAAACGGCCTTTGACGGAGATTGGAATAAACGGCGACTGATCCCCAACGCATTTGGCCACCCTGTTCCCTCCTTCATGCGTCCCTTGGCGGCCGCTGCAGGCCGGGGTGGGGGAGGGACTCGGGGCCACAGAACGCACACAGCGAGCGAGCCCACACTTTGAATGAACACACACAAGCAGCTGCTTATTTTTCTTTCCTTAAGCAGTTTTTCAAGGTCCTGTAGCTCTGAGGACCTGAAGGTGGGAACTGTGGGAGACTGCTTGGGGCGCAGTGAAGACGCGAACCCTGTCGCTGCCGAGGGCGCCAGGCCGGGCCCTTCCCCGGCAGCCAGCCGGTCCTGCGGACGTTTCTGCAGGCCCGTCCCTCTGTGCCCTCGTTCCGCACTGAGGCCGGGGCAGAATTTCCCCGCGTGGGTGAATCAGCTGCTGCAGTGACCCGTGTCCTCCGGGCGCTTTTCCTGACCGTGTCCCCCTCGTCTCTCCTAGTCGGCCACGGGTGTGTATTTGGCCGCTTTACCCACACCCGGCGGCATCCAGATTGCCGGGAAGACGCCGAACGACGGCTCCTACGAGCAGCACATCTCCCACATGCAGAAGAAGATCAACGACACGATCGCCAAGAACAAGGAGCTGTACGAGATCAGCCCCCCGGTAAGGAGCGGCCGCGTCTCGCCTGGCTCTCTGAGCACTGCGTTCGGGGGCCTGAGGGGGCTGCTGTATTCTGTGCTTGCTTGCTTGCTTGCTTGTGTCTCTGTTTTGGGTGACTCCTGGCTCTGCGCTCAGGAATTTATCCTGGCGGGGCTCAGGGGACCACATGGGAATGGAACCCCAGTCTGCCGTGTGCAAGGCGGTGCCCTCTCTGCTGCCTGTCCCTCGGACCCCAGTTCCTGGACATGTTATTTTGGACACGAGATACATCGTGTCACTGCTCGGCTCTTCTCAGGATCCTTGTGCCTCTTTGGCGTCTTTGTAAGGAGGCTCACCTTGGCCATCCAGCTTTTCTTTTTTCTTTTTTCTTTTTCTTTTTGGGTCTACTCCTGGATCACTCAGGAATCACTCCAGGCAGTACTTGGGGGGACCATATGGGATGCCAGGGATTGAACTTGGGTCGGCCGCATACACGGGAAACCCCCTCCCCGCTGGACTATCGCTCCGGCCTCTACCATCCAGCTTAGAACACGTAACTGCCCTGTCCAATTTGTAGTACTTGCTAACCCCCGTTTTCCCTGTATTTTACCATTTTGTAACTCAGGCGTGTGTGTGTGTGTGTACATTCAGAGGGAGAGTTTTTTTGTTTGTTTGTTTGTTTGTTTTTGTCTATTGCTGGGCTGTTTTCCTGGGCAGTAAGTAACCTTTCAGGCATTTGTGTTGAGTAACCGAACGAGAGTTTTGTTTTTCATTGTGATGGAAGATGCTTGTTTGTGGCACGAGGCATGAAAGGGCAGTGTGAAAACTCTGCCGTTGGTTTTCTCCGTCAGGCTTTTCAGTGGCTGCCCTTGTTCTGCAGAGCAGGGGGCCTTCACAGCCGTCACCTGCGCTGGAGAAAGATGTTTGGGGATGGACTCTGGCTCGAGCTGTTTTTCTGAGCCTTTGACCATTAATTCCAGAAAACGCAAGTGTTTGGATGACACTGTTATGTCTTATCTTACTACTTTTTTTTTTTTTTTTTGCTTTTTGGGTCACACCTGGCGATGCACAGGGGTTACTCCTGGCTCTGCACTCAGGAGTTACTCCTGGCGGTGCTCAGGGGACCATATGGGATGCTGGGAATCGAACCCGGGTTGGCTGCGTACAAGGCAAACGCCCTACTCGCTGTGCTATCTCTCCAGCCCCCTTATTACTTTTTAAATAATACTATAACGTGTTGATTGGTCCTCTGGAAGGGTGCCTCTGAATTCTAGCTTCAGACTTACCGCTTGCTAGCGATGTTGCCAACTCAGGAAGAATTCTTGTTTGCTTCTCAGCATACCCCATGAGGCCTGGGGACTGCTCCCTACTGGGCACTCGGGGTGTTACCCCAGCAGTGCTCTGGAGACATGTGGCAGGGCGGCCCCTGGCTGTCCCACACACAGTGTCCGCCCTCTCGCTCAGGGCCCGTGCTCTGGGCAGCCGAGAGTGCCCCGTGGGGTCCCTCCAGGTGAGGCAGCTCTGATTTGAGATGTGCGGTGCCAGGCAGACACCGAGAAAGGAGGAAAGTATCCTAAGAATGGTGCTTGGTTACAGGCGAAATATAGTGTGTTCGGTATATTGAGAGTCACTATTTTTTTTGAGATCAATATTTATTTAAATAGATTTTTAAAAAATTGATTGCAAGGCTTGCTTTGTGTTTCTGCTAACGGTGCTGATAAGAGAATCTTTAACTTTCAAATATTTATCTTTCAAACATCATGTCTATTGATCTTTGATTGTCCTCCGCAAACCATGGTGGGGATTTGTGTTGTTTCTTCATGTTGGTGTGGAGGTGTGGGAACTGAGATGTTACACTAGATTTCTTGGTATGACTGCTCTACCTGTGGCCTGCCCGCCTAAAATTGGGCCATGCCCGCTTGGAAGAAGCCACGCCCACTTGTGAAGAGGCCACGCCCCCACGGGTACCTAGTGTGGGTAGGGGGGTACCAGCTGGGAGGGGAAGCATTGGGGATGAACAGGAAGAGGCTCAGGGATACTCGTCGGCCCAGGGTCCTAGAGGACACCTGGGGCACTTGCACAGAGGAAGCCAAGTCCTGGGTTCGAATACTGGAGGATTAACTGACCTGGGAGGGGAAGAAGACTGGCCCAGCGTTGTCTGTTGATATTTGAAAAATCATCATTAGGGCTTTCTGCAGTACTTTCCGGGCTGCATTTTTCATAACTCTATTTTGATATTGGAGCATCTGCTAACAGTGTGTGTCTGGTTGCAGAGAGGCGTGCAGAGCCCTGTGTCGGGGGCTCCATCCTCAGGGTCCCCTGCTCTGTACCAGGATTGTGGTCCTGTCTGGCCCCGCACAGGGAGAGCACACCCGTCTTCCTGGGCACCTGTCTGCTGTGCGTGCCTGCCTGTGGTCCCAGCTCCCAGCTGTGACGCTGAATTCTCACGTTTCTGCCCTCCTTTGCTGTGCTGTGAGCTCCCGTGGCCATGGACAGACTTAACGGAAATTAAGTACTTTATCCCTTCAATAGGTATTTATTGAACTTTTGCTTCTTTGGGTTGCTTTTTTGTTCTGGGGGCCGCACCCTGCCATGCTCAGGGCTGACTCCTGGCTCTGCCCTCAGGGATTAACTCCTGGCAGGGCTCAGGGGACCTTGTGGGATGCCGGGGATGGAACCCAGGTCAGCCACGTGCACGGCAGAGACCTCCCTGCTGTGCTATCACTCTGATCCATAAGCTTCTGCTTTTTAAATTACTTCCTCTTTTTTTTTTTTTTGGTCTCAGACAACCGGTGTTTTATTATATCACCTGAGTAATAGGATCTATGAAATCATACCTATAAAAATTGTGACAGAGCAATTGACCCCACGAAGATTACCCACAGTGGTAAAATGAAATACTCCATGTAGTGATGATCTGAAACAGTAACATATAATAAGTAATAGTTTTTAATATGATTTTTAAAGTTAATTTAAGAACTGTGATTTACAAAGTTATCTATAGTTGGGTGTTAGTCTATTACAAAGTGAATCTCAAAGAATGAATTTATGAACTGAGACCTCACTATATCCTGATATCACTGGTGAAATATTCAGAGACATTGGATCCCCGATCCATTTTAAATGGATTTTAATCCATCCTCTTAGTGAAGGGAATAATAAATCTGTTCAGAATTTTTAAAAATTCAGCATTCATGTAGTTCACAGATTGAGTTATGACCCTAATTCAAAAAATGGCTATTTCTGAATCTCCCAGTATCTTTCCTGATTTCTAAGATGGACTCTCTCGCTCTCTTCGAATCATCATATACGCTAACAGTCGTGCAGCGTAACATAACCATTCTGTGGGTCCTTAGACCCGACTTTCCGCCTCTCTGAAGCTTTGCCTGCCCGTACCAAGAATGAGAACCTGCACGGTTCTTGGCTCGTTCCTTCCCGGCTGCAGTCAGTGCTCCGGCATCCGTCTCTCAGAACCTCGGACAGCCGAACCCAGCCGTCAGCCGAGTGGGCTGTGCTTGAAGCCGGCGTGAGGTGCTCAGAGGGGAGCACAGCAGGTGCTCACGTGCTCCCTCTCCACAGTGTTTAGAACTTGTAGTTAGTGCTGAGTTTGGCTCTATAGAATGTCAGTACTCAGGGACCCTTAGAGGGTCAGACCATGAGCTGCCCTAAAAACATCATTATTGAAACTACCCAGGTTGCACAGCAAGTACAGACTCACATAATGCATAGAATACACATGTGCGTGCAGTTTGTTTCACATCTTCCTAGGTGAGGATTTGATAAACTGCAACCAGTAAAAAAATAAATAAAACAGATGAGAATCAAATTTGGGGATCTCAATCTTTTTTTGTCTCTTTTTAAAAATTTTTTTATGTCCACTGACCTCCCGTTGTTCATCGATTTGCTGGAGCGGGCACCAATAACGTCTCCATTGTGAGAATTGTTACTGTTTTTGGCATATCAAATGGTAGGCGGGGGTCACACCCACCAACTGGCCCCCTGGTGCCGTGTAATCCCATCAACGGCCAAGACTCAGAGACTATAAAAACCAGCTCCCGGAACCGCGTGGCCGCATTTGCGGTCGTGCGACATCTTATTATGACATCTTTTTATCTCATTCCTACTTTGGACAAATTGGCAGGCTATCGAATGTAGCCTGCCCACAGGGCAGAGTCTGGCAAACTCCCCGTGGTATACCCAATATGTCAAATACCAGTAACAATGATGGGTCTCATTCTCCTAAAGAGCCTTGAATATAATCTCAGGGCTAGGATGAAGGAGACGTTACTGGGGCCTGCTCGAGGCAATTGACGAATAACAGGATGATTTGTGATTTGTGATTGTGATCGAATACGTCACGGGGAGCTTGCCAGGCTCTGCCTTGTGGGCGGGATACTCTCAGTAGCTTGCCAGGTTGTCCGAGAGGGGCAGAGGAATTGAACCCGGGTCGGCCGCGTGCAAGGCAAATGCCCTACCCACTGCACTATTCATTTTTTATGAAGTTGTTCATATTATATTCAATATGATATTCAATATTCAATATTCCAGTATTCCAATACCAGTCTTACCATCATTACACTATCCTACCACCATATTTCGAATTACTCCACCCCGATCCCCAAAGCCTTCCTCCAAAACAGAACCTAAAGAGTTTAATTTGAATTGCATGTTATGAATAATCCGCTAAAGATGATCAATAAAAAAGTTCCTTAGAGGAAAGTGTGCGAAGATTGATGTATCACCCTTAAGAGCCATTAAGCCCTTGTATAGAGTGTGAGATATTGTGTGGCTGCGTGTGTGGCCCCGCGCTCCAGGAATTCTAAGATTTTAAATAGGGTGATACAACTAGAATTAAATTTTTGACTGGATGGTGACTTTGGGATCCGGTGACATCTCTGTGGCATGTGGCTCTCTTTGTCTTTCGAGGTTTATTTGTGAGTCTCTGGGTCATTGCTGTTAGTGAGCTTAATGCCACAGGCAGTCCTTGGACGTGACTGCCAGGCTACTGGAAGCACAGGGAGAAGATGGGGGAGCTTGCCCGTTCCCAACTCCGTGAGAGGCTGGAGGTTTCGGTCATAAAACCTGCATGCCCCGGGTTTTCCAGCAGATTCCCTCATGGTTGAGGCCCTTCTGAGCCTGTGGAGAGCAGCCGTGAGCATGGTGGTGATTGCGTTCTGGAGGTTTTCAGCTGCTGGGGCTCTTCTGGGGCGGGTGAGTGCCAGGTTTCCCAGGATGAGTCAGCCTGGCCCGGGTTCCGGTGGCATCTCTGCGGCGTGTTGCTCTCCTCCTGTTCTGAGGTTTATTTGTGAGTCTGCATCTCAATCTTCAATCTCTTCACAAGCTGTTAGCTTGTCAGTGCAAAGCCTGAAGAGCCTGAGTGGCAGGCCTGCCAGTTCCCGGGGTGGGCACTAGATGGCACCATTGCCTCAGCGCATCTGCAGGGTCCCGGGGGTCAGGGGCTCACGCTGAGGCTTCTCAGTGGGCCTTCCCTGTGACTTTACACATAAGGTCATGCTAAAATATTGATTGTGAACGTATCTTACAGATTTTCTCATATCCTCGGCCCCACTCTCTCTGATAGTTGTCTATCGATGTAAATTTTTTAAATTAAAACTGGAAAAGTCAAGCCTTTTTTTCCCTTAGCGGTTTCGGGCCACTCCCATCGGTGCTCAGGGCCGGCTCCTGGCTCTGTGCTCAGGGCTCCCTCCTGCCAGGGCTCAGGGGACCCTGTGCACAGCCAGGGATCGACCTGGTGGGCCACAGGCAGGCCAACACCTTCACCAGGTACTCTCGCTCTGGCCTCCAGAGCTATTCTTGGAATATAAAAATCAGCTCTTTTTTCTTTCAGGAGGTGTCGGAAGAAATTATAGGATCACCCATTCCGGAACCCAGACAACGCTCAAGACTTTTAAGATCACAGTCAGAAAGCTCAGATGAAGTCACAGAACTAGACCTTTCGCATGGGAAAAAAGACGCTTTCGTTTTGGAGGTATTATTTTATCACGGTTAATTTTTAGATGAGATCGGGAGTGTTCAGGGTGGTATGGCCATAGATTGCGATTAATGTTTGCAGTTTGGGAGGGAAGGGAAGATGCACCTTTTTACTGAAGCCCAGATCCAAAGTTCAAAAACTTTATTTTTCATAAACTTAAAAATATCAGAATTTGATAGCATGTTTTTTTGTTTAACGTAATGTAGCACTGTCGCCCTGTCCTCCCGTTGTTCATCGATTTGCTCGAGCTTGCACCAGTCACATCTCCATCGTGAGACTTGTTGTTACTGTGTTTGGCATATCGAATACGCCACGGGGAGCTCTGCCGTGCGGGCGGGATACTCTCGGTAGCTTGCCGGGCTCTCCGAGAGGGGCGGAGGAATCGAACCCGGGTCGGCCACGTGCAAGGCAAATGCACTACCCGCTGCAGTGTATTTGATAAAATAATATAAGTAGTTCTGCAAAAATTAAAACCTGGGTTAAATATTAAAGCCTCAGGTCTATTTTTGTAAACATAAGTGAATTTAAATGAATTCAAGTGCTATTCTTTCGCTCGCTATCATTTCTCACCCCCCCCCCCCCCACCTTCTGTTGTTTTTGGGCCATACCAGGAATTGCTCAGGTATTACTCCTTGCTCTGCAACTCAGGAGTTACTCCTGGCGGTGTTTGGGGGACCGTATGGGACTTAAAATATCGGGAATCCAACCCAGGTCGACTGTGTGCAAGGTGAACGCCCCGCCCTCCCCGCTGTGCTGTTGCTCTCGCCCCCATTTTTCTTCTCTGCTCCCTAGCTTATAACTTGTTGCTGTAGCATTTGTATCCCTTAAGTGTCGTTTTTAATCACTGACTTCTGAGTGTCGTGGTTTCCTGCTGAGTCGGGAAGCTGTCATTCCGATGTCGTTAGAAAACTGCGCTCAAAGCATCTTGTTCCCTTTCCTGGAGAAGAGATGTGGCCGGTAAAGCTATGGAGCCTCCCTCCCGACAAATGTGCTCCCTAGTGCTCCCCGATGAGGGGGTAGCTGGAGGGTGAGGGTCCGGGAGAGATGGAGGCTTGGTGAGCAGCGGTGTGGGCGGTCAGAGGGGGGCCAGGTGGCCAGCTGTGGGGCACAGGGGCTGAGACGAGGCTGCCCTTCAGTAGATCCCCTGACTCAGTTGTCCTCCTCTGGGAGCGGGCAGCTGTGGGGCCTGGAAGGAGACTGTCGGGCCGAGGAGGGCAAATGTCCCAGGCAGGACAGCGCGGGCCGCGCCTGGCTGCAGTGACCAGCAGCTGGCAGAGGAGCAGACTCTCAATGACAGCCTCAGGCAGGGGCAGAGTTGGCTCAGCAGATTCTGCAGACACGCCTAAGCCTTGCCAAGGTTCGCTGTGGAGCGCCCTGGATACCCGGCTCCCAGCGGGCAGGGAACCAAGCCACGCTGCTGGACTGGGCAGGACTCGGGCCGAGAAGGGGCGGGAGGGCACGGTGGGGATTGCCCGAGAGCTGGGGATGGCCGCGGGCGGGCGGCACTAAGAGTGGGAAGTGTAGGCAGGGGCTGAGAACGGCCCCCCTCACCCCCGCTCCCAGACAGCGCCCGTGCCCACCCTCCAGGGCAAACTCTGCACCGTTCACAGCCGGCTGGTACCAACGATCACAGCCAGCTGGTACCACTGTTCACAGCCAGCTGGTACCACTGATTACAGCTGCCTGGTACCAGCATTCGTAGCCGGCTGGTACCGCTGATCACAGCCAACTGGTACCACTGATCACAGTGGGCTGGTACCACCATTCACAGCCGGCTGGTACTGCCGATCGTAGCGGGCTGGTACCCATGTGAGAGGGCGGGCTTGGACCCTGTCTCGGATCCGCCTTTAAATACATCCCATCTCATCCTCTCCGGGAAGGCAGAGGCCTCCAGGAGTGCTCGTGGGGTTACTCCCGCAGTCCAGCGGGTTCCTGGGAGCTGGTGGACGAGGCAGCTCAGCCCTGTGTCGGGCGCCACCGTGTGAGGGCTGTGTGGGGCCGTCCCCGCCTGCCGCTGCTGCTCTTCCGAGTCTGTCTGGGTCAAAGGGCTTTCATGCACGAACTGCCACCGTACTTAGGAATTTTTTGTGCATCCTCCAAAACACGTCCTTATCATAGTCTCGAGAAAAGTCTCGTTTTCCTTTTCTTTCTTTTGGGGCTTGGGAAGGCTCACACCTGGTTCTGCTCAGGGCTCACTGCTAGCTCAGTCCTTGGAACTCACACCTGGCTCAGTGCTCAGGGCTCACTCCTGACTCAGTGCTCAGGGCTCACTCCTGGCTGGGCTCAAGTGGGAGGGACCCTGTGGGGTGCCAGGAATAGAACCTGAGTCAGCTGCATACAAGGCCAGTGTCCTACCTCCTAACTCATTAGCCCCAAAGGCGTGTTTTCTCTCTCCTTTTTGTTGGTTTGTTTGGGGGCCACATCCGGTGATGCTCAGGGGTACCTCCAGGCTCTGCACTCAGGAATCACTCCTGGTGAGCTCAGGGGACCATATGCAGTGCTGGGGATCGACCCACTTTGGCTGCATACAAGGCCAACACCCTCCATGCTATGCTATCTCTCTGGCCCACAGGCTCCTTTTCTTAACTCATGACTCTTTTTGTTTGTTGGTTCCTTTGTTTTTTAATTGAATCACTGTGAGATATACAGTTACGAAGTTGTTCGTGATTGGGTTTCAGTCATGGTGTTCCAGTTCGCCACCCTTGATATATGTCATAGTCAGAAATTTACAACTGGTTGTTGTGGAGAAATGTACAAGTATCAGAAAAAAGTCTTTTGAAGTTTTAGGAGAAAATGTCTGCTTTTCCTTGACTCTTGTGTCATCTGTTTAGTAAGGAATAACCATCACCTGGGCTGGAGTGATAGCACAGCGGGTAGGGCATTTGCCTTGCACGCAGCCAACATGGCCGACCCGAGTTCGATTCCTCCGCCCCTCTCGGAGAGCCCAGCAAGCTACCGAGAGTATCTCACAGTATCCCACACAGCAAAGCCCGGCAAGCTACTGACAGTATCTTGCCCTCACGGCAAAGCCTGGCAAGCTCCCCGTGACGTATTCGATATGCCACAGTAACAATTGTCACAATGGAGACGTTACTGGGCCCTCTCGAGCAAATTGGTGAACGATGGGAGGACAGTGACAGTGACAGTGAACCATAACTTTTTCCCTATGGAAGCGATCGCCTGTTTCCTACTCACTGAGTGATGCCTGCCTGTCTTTCAGATCGACGACACAGACGCCATGGAGGACGTGCACTCTCTGCTGACTGATGTCCCCCCACCCTCAGGTGGGCAGGCCCGGGGATGGGGGGAGATGGCCTGCGCGCCAGTGTGTGAATCTCACTCTCTTGGGAATGACTGTATTCTGAAGGGCTTTAGGATAAATCCCTGTACATCCTGTCCTGGGCTTTGCTGTTCCAGGGGGTCGGGGGGGGGGGGGGGGTAGGGGGAGGAAAATTTTATATATATATATGTGTGTGTGTCTGTGTGTATTCATATACACACACACATACATATGCATTAGAACTGAAGTGGATTAAATTTTTGGATCCTTTCATGTTTACACACAGAAAAAGTTTTGTTTTTTAAGCATTTTTTAATTTATTTTATTTTATATATATGTATATTTTTTTTCTTTTGGGTCACACCCAGTGATGCTCAGGGGTTTCTCCTGACTCTGCACTCAGGAATTACTCCTGGCGGTGCTTAGGGGACCATCTGGGATGCTGGGGATTGAACCCGGGTCGGCCGCATGCAAGGCAAATGCCCTACCCACTGTACTATCACTCTGGCCCCTGGAAAAAGTTTTTGACAGTTGACTAAGTGGTCTTAAAGTTTCCCGAGGACATGGAATTTTGTCACCATATCACTGTCGTCCCGTTGTTCGTCGATTTACTCGAGCAGGCGCCAGTAACGTCTCCATTCGTCCCCGCCGTAAGATTTTAGCAGCCTCTTCTTACTCGTCCTTCCCAACGCTACCATATTGGAGGCTCTTTTAGGGTCAGGGGAATGAGACCTGTTAAATGTTACTGTTTTTGAATATGCCACGGATAGCTTGCCAGGCTCTCTACATGGAATTCTAGGGGAAAGTAATTTACTTTTCGGGAAAAAGAAGGGCTCTCACAGTTGGAACTTCAAGTGATGATTGAAAATAACAAAAATTAAGGGACACTGCTGTCATATTTTAACTCCGATTTATTTCGACAGGCTTTTATAGTTGCAATACAGAAATTATGCCCGGCATCAATAATTGGACCTCTGAAATTCAGGTAAACCGCCTTTTGCTATTAGTTTTAAGCAGAGACAATAAAAATGATTTCAGCAAATGTCTTCTTATCCGTGTTCTCTTTTAGAATTTACTGCAGTTTCAGTGTTATCCTTGTCCACACAACAGTGGTCATGATGTCTGTTCATGATGTGTCAGGTTTGTCTGCTGATACTGGACTTGGGATAAGACGCCCGTTGTTGTATCTCCTTGCAGATGTTTACATCGGTACGAGTGATCCGATTAAGCAGCCTCAACTTGACTAATCAAGCTCTCAATAAGAACTTCAACGACCTCTGTGAAAATTTGCTCAAGGTAAGAACCTCCTGACTACAGTGCAATGCACAGGGGTTAGTCCTGGCTCTGCACTCAGAAATTACTCCTGGTGGTACTTGGGGGACCACATGGGATGCCGGAGATTGAACCTCGGTCGGCTGTGTGCAAGGCAAACGCCCTTTCCCTGGCCCCTGACTGTAGTTCTTCGCAATCATGAAATTGGAGAAAACAAAGGTTGCTATATTGTGTGGAACACCTTTGCCAGTTGTGGATTGAATTACTTTTGTTTACATATCAGTCTTAATCTGGCCATTAAGCAGAGTGTGCAGGTGTATTTGACTTGATACCACCATACCGTAAATTTGGTTTTAAGTCACATTTTAGCTTTAAGCATTATGTGTGTGTAATACACACTTTCATGTGTGTAATTCTTGAAAAACCTTTACATTGTATTGCTTTTTTTGTTCTAGTGGAAGGTAGGATTTAATTTTTCTCTCTGCGCATGTGTTAAAAGTGTTCCAGGGGCCGGAGATTGTATGATGGAGAGGCTGCTGCCCTTGTGTGCTGCTGATCCGGGTTCGATCCCTGGCACCTCATATGGTCCCCTGAGCTTGCAAGTAATTCCTGAGCACAGAGATAGGAGTAAGCCCTGGGCACTGCCGAGTGCGGCCCCCAAACTCAAAAACAGTCAATCAGGAATGGATTTGAAATCTAGGAAAAAGCCCAGAGAGTGGGCCGGGTTCTGATCTTGAATCTGACGTGCTGCAGATGCTGTTGGGCCGTGTGAAGCCCAGAGCTGGGTGTGAAACCCAAAGCCGGGTGTGATGCCCAGAGCTCGTGTTCTGTGTTCCGTGTTCTCTGTCCCTGGTGCAGTGACGCTGGCTCTCCTCTCTCCCGCAGAGTCTGTACTTCAAGCTCCGCTCCATGAGCCCCTGCTGCCTCTGCCACGCCGACTTCACCGTCTCTCTGCCCGAGGACGAGGCGATTCAGGTACCCAGGAGCCAGGATCTAGCCTGGGACAGCCTCCAGCTTTTTAAGTTTATCTTTTAACTCTTATAAAGTTGCTCACGATGATTTATAACGTTCAGTGTGCCGACCCCAGTCCCACCACCGATACACCTTCCCACCACCATCGTTTCCAATTTTCCCAGCCACCACTCAGGCCTGTTCCAATCACAGGTCCTAAATAATGTATTTGATATGCTTGTTGTGAGTAATTTGCTAAAAATGATCCAAAAAGATTTCCTTAGAAAAAAGCATGTGGTGATTGTTGTATCTCACCGTGGAGCCATTAAGCCCTTGTACAAGAGATGACTAAGATGATGTTAGAGGTTGAGCCATGTGTGATAATATTGAGATCGGTTGCCTCTGCATCCCATCCCGTTTGGTATGTTACTCCCGGTATGTCAGTGATACAGAGCATGAGATGTGAGAGATGCGAAGGCGGCCGCTTGTGGAGTCCGGCCATGAGCATGGCCATGACTGGATTCTGGAGAGGTTTTGCTGCCAGGGCTCTGTTTGGGCAGCTGGTGGGCTCACCTGCCCCCCCACCCTCGGGGATGCCCTGGATGAGACTCAGCCTGGTGGGGCCCGAAGGCATCTCTGCCTCTTGTTGATCTCTTTGGAGATTTACTGATGAGTCTCTGGATCATGGGCAGTTACTGAGCTTATTTGGTGCCGGAGGCAGTTCATGTGGCGTGACTGTCGGCTCCAGAAGAAGAGGGGGACGGGGGAGGGTGGCCCATCCCTAACTCCGAGAGAGCCTGGAGGTTTCGGTCACAAAACCCGTGTACCTGAGATTTTCAACAGATTCACTCCCGACTGAGGCTCTTGCGTCCTCCAGCTTTGATCTCGGCTACTTCAGTGTCACACATTTGCCGGCACCAAGTGCTTAGACCTCACGGCCGCCCTGCAGATGACGTCAGCGTGTCACTGCCCTCAGACTGTATGTCATGTTCTTCTGGACTCAGATGGGCACCAACCACGTGCCCCATAGGATGTTCGACTTTGCGTCGCCGTTCCTGGCGCTGGGAATGATGTGTGAAACGAGTGCCAACAGTTTCATTGCTTTTGCTTTGTTTTGCTGACTCTGTGTTTTTCATGATCCTAGGTTACAGTCACAGCGGTCGCAATCACCTTTGACAAAAATCAGGCTTTGCAGACCACAAAAACGCAGGTGGAAAAGTCATCGCAAAGAGGTAAACGCCTGCGTACGATGGTCGTGTCGGTACACAGTGAAGTTCAGCGAGAGTTAGAGGTCCGCTTGTTTCCTTGCTTTCCTTTCTTTCTCCCTGGACGATGATGAGATGATGAGGATGAGGATGAGAATGATGAATGATGGATGATGATGATGATGGATGAGGATGATGGATGATGGATGATGAGGATGAGGATGAGGATGATGGATGATGAGGATGATGGGTGATGATGATGATGATGATTTTTGAGGTATCGGGGTTTCTAACAGTGCCTGGTGTGAGGTAGTGGGGTCTATAATGGTACCTATAATGGTGCCGGGTGTTTCTGCTCTAGGCATTGGGTGTTACTGTCACTCCCACCAGCGCTGGCCTTGGCTCCGCACCACCTCCATCCCGCTCACCTCTCTCTGTTCTGCTGTCAGGCTCTTTTCACCGGATGTCGTCTCTGCCCTTTACGCTTCTTTCCACTCCCCAGGGGAATGGGATCATCCACCATTGCCCTCTGACTGAATTCCCCTCGAGTTCTGTCCCCACTGTAGGGAAGGGCCCGGCTTTGTCTTTCCCCGATAGCTGTGTGTCATCTCCCACTGCATGCCTGTCGCAGCCCTCTGTCCACGTCTCCGTTGGAAAGGCACTTGTGTTGTTTCCCGATCTTGGCCCGGGGAAATAACGCAGCTGTGAGCTTAGGTCTGCAGGGAGGAGTGTGTCTTAAGGACACAACGCTCATCTTGTGATTTGTTTTTGTTTTAACTGTGTGGATAAGCGTAGATGATACTTTTCGTATATGAAAAGATTATTGATGTTTATGTAGAGTAAATTAGGGTATATTCTACAGAAATTTGCAGGTTTCCACCTGGTTTGGGGAGAATGTCAAGGCATCTGATGTCATTCACGTTGTATGCGTTATGTTTCTTTCTCAGAAAAATTCCTGTCATATCTAGCAGAGTCTCAGTGTTACCCTTTCTCTGGTGAAATTTAGGAAGTACCTTTTTGTTTTTTAAGTGAAGCAGAATAATTTTTACTGAAAGAAATTTGGAAAGATGTGAGGGAAAGAAAGAGAGGAAATCAAGTCCAAGAGAGACCACACAGATAAAGTTTAATCCTGAAAAGTACCGTTTTAATGTATTCCAAGAAGTCCAGATAATCAGTGTTCATTTTTGTGTTCTGAAACAAAAATAGTCGAGAAATAAGATTCCTGACTTGCTGGCAAAAATGTGCATGATTAGCTAAAAATCTTAAAGTGATTAAATTCTGGATACAGCATTGAGTTTTAGTGAAGCAGATGTATTAAACGATGTGTTCAAATATTTATCAAAGAAGACAGATAATGAGCGCTCTCATCGGTACCAAAGAGCTAAGATAAGGTGCAGAGTCAGATGGCAAAAATCCTCACTTGTCGGATTGTTCCTTCACGAGGCTCTGCTGGTGGATTCATGTGTCTTGTCTTTGCTCCCTCCGAGAATCCCCCTGGGGAAGGAGGCCCAGGGAAGGGGGGAAGCCCAGGAGAAGGGGAGAAACGCAAAGTGAAGGGGGATGGGGTCTGAGTCTCCATAGGAAAAACGTGGGCATGCACACAGGTTGCAAGCGTTTGGTGGCCAAGAGCCGCCTCCCCAGGCCCGATGACAGCAACAACGAGACAAAGAAACGGGAACTTGGTTTCGGCTCCAGGCTGGTCCGTGGACAGTTTATTTCTCTCTCCTCCCAGCGAAATCTGATCTCTCACCTTACGGCGCAGTCGTAGTTGTAGTTTTGGTCGTAGTCTCAGTCATCATAGTTCCATCATCCTAGTCTCCTCGTAGACCTCAAAGTCCTCTACTTCGTTATATCTTTTTTCTTGTCTCGTCATAGTCTCATAGTCCTCCAGTTCCAGTCATCATCGTCATCTAGTCATCCTTCTCGTCTTCAAAGTCCCAACGTCTTCCAGAGTCTCAGTCCCCATCCTCCTTGTCTTTCCCCTTATTATCACGATCACGACCATCCTGTTGTTCGTCGATTGCCTCGAGCAGGCCCCAGTAACATCTCCTTCATCCTAGTCCAGAGATTTTTTAAAAAGTGCCATCTTCAAGGCTCTTTCAGGGTTAGGAGAATGAGACCCATCATTGTTACTGGTATTTGGCATATTGGGTACGTACGCCAGGGGAGTTTGCCAGACTCTGCCGTGTGGGCAGGTTACATTCAGTAGCCTGTCAGTTTGTCCAAAGTAGGAATGAGATAATAAGATGTCATAATAAGATGTTCCGTGCTGCAAATGCTCACTTCCGGGAGCTGGGTTTTATATTTATAGTCTCTGGGTCTTGGCCGTTGATGGGATTACAACAGGGGGCCAGTTGGTGGGTGTGACCCCTGCCTACTGGAATTTGGAGGATCTGGATTGAGGATGCTCAGCCCCGATCCGAGCAGGCTTGGAGATCTCCGCCCCGGGACCCGCATGCCTTTGTTCCTCTGCCGGTACCTTCATGCGTGTGGAGAGAGGTCTCAGCATGGTGGTGGCTGGTTCTGGAGGTCTTTGGCTGCTGGAGCCCTGGTCGGGGTGGGGAGGGAAATTCAACCCGCTCCCCTCCAAGGGCCCCGGCGAGGAGGGCCAGGCGGGGGGCAGGACACTCTTATATAGGGATCATGAAGGGTTGGGATATACCTAGGTGGGGTTGAACATTGTCATAACAACAAACAGAGGCAAAGCCACTCCTTCAGGGGAAGTTCTAGGGGATTAACTCAAGGACAAGATCTCATCTGAGGGTACAACGCTCCAGATTACTAGGAGATCCGCTCAAGGGCGGGATTCCATTGCTTTCTTCATCCATTTAACCAATCATAGTAAATTTATTTCTTATAGTATCTCTAGTCATTTTGTATGAACACAGTAAGAAAAATATTAAGCTTAAAGTTTGGCTTTTCTTGGGGAAGAGGAACATCTCACTGTATATCCCAGACTACAGTCCTCAGGCCAGGTTAGTCTTTCCTAACCCAGCAGGGTCCTTGTTCAGTCCCTTCTTTTTGGGTCATGACAGAGTTTGTTCCATGACCATGCTCTTAACTTATTATACTTATGGCGCTTAGCTTGTCTGCTTTCGATGACAGGGTAGCATACAGCTTGTCCTGGGTCCATCCAGTTCCTGCTTTTGGAGTGCTAGGAACTAAGGGCAACTGAGGCTCAAGTAAACATGGATGTAAATATGGATGCCCAAGAGTACATCAAGTAAATACGGATGCCCGAGAGTAAATATTATTTTGGAGTCAATTAACAAACTCCCATGTTGCAAAGCATTGTATGAACTGTCTTCCTGTGTCTATACACAAAGGACATTGCTGAATAAGCCACGCAAGGGACATAAAGGAAAGGGAAAAGCAATCTAGGATTGTTCATGCTTGGTGGAACTGGGTTGTGCCTCAGGGGCACTGTTGTGGGAGTAGCTCAGTAAACCAGAGCTCATTGCTGGAGGAGCAGGGACAACCCAACGCTATCCAAGAATCTGCTGGCCCAGATTCTTCATTTTAACAAGTTAACCCTGGACTATGGCTGAATAACTGGTGTCTCTCTTGCCCCTCCAGCCTCTACAGATAACGAAGAGCTCCTGCAGTTCCCGCTGGAACTCTGTGCGGACTCATTGCCTCCCCATCCTTTCCCGCCGGCTAAAGGTTGGTTGAGTGGGGGGCGCGCACCCCGCCTTCTCCTTTCTCCCGCCCGCTCCCTCCCTTAGGCTCACTTAGTTTTGAGGCGAAGATGTGTTTCTCCACGCCCTCACGGGGCGTTTTATCATGGTCATAAACGGGGAGGCCTCGGGGCCCTTCCTCTCTCGGGCAGTCTCGTGAATCCCGGGTAGAGTCCCGGATGCCCTTCCCTTCTGAAGCCTCGGACGGCCTTGTCTTATTTTCAGAAAGTTGCATTTCCCAGAGTATATGTCCCATGTATCTTCATACGTGATCGAGATGATATTTATTTAAAAAAAATAATGGTGAGGTCTTTTTCAGCAACAAGCAAATCCTTCACATTTTGGGGTATAATTTTTGGATATTTATCGACAGCAGAAACCTTATTTCTTCATGAAGAGGGTTTGGGCGGGGAACGCATTGCCCGGGCCAGCCTGAGGTGCATTCGTAGAAAGCGGCTAGAAACCAGCCGCTTTTTCAAACGTGAAATTGTTGACCCTGAACTCAGTAGCTATGTACCTGTTTAACACCTTCACCACCATCAGAGAAAAATAAGAGGTTGGGGGCTGGAGCAGAAGCACAGCGGGTAGGGCGTTTGCCTTGCACGCGGCTAACCTGGGCTCGACTTCCAGCATCCCATATGGTCCCCTGAGCACCGCCAGGAGTAACCCCTGTGCATCACTGGGTATGACCCAAACAGCAAAAAAAAAAAAAAAAGAAAAGGTTTTTTTTTCTATTTTTCTTCTTATTTTAGAAGACCTTTTTTTATTTAAAAAAAAAAAAGGAAAATAGAGAAAAATAAGAGGTAGCTTTTTTCCATTTTTTTTTCTGATTTTAGAAGACCTTTGTGTGTGTGTGTATATTTATGTGTATATATATATATATATATATATATATATATATATATATATATAAAGATAGGGGAAAAAATGTTATTAGTCAAGTTCCCAGAGTCATTGATATCTCATAAGCAGTCTTTTTGCCAGTTCTGTGAAATGCAGCATGCGTCATTTGGAGCCAAACTGGCTTTTCTCATTTTTTGTCTTTTTGAGTGGTGGGCGGACCACACCCGCAGTGCTCAGGGCTTCCCCTGGCTCCAGAGCCCTGGGTCATGTCCTGTGGCACTGGGGGCAGTCGCAGGTGCCCAGGATGGAAGCGGGTCTCTCCGGCCTGGGTTTTCCCGGGTTGTTCTTGTCCTTTGTTTGGCTTGGGTTTGGACTCCTCGTGGCTTTGACTCCTGAGGTCATGTCAGGCCCATGGGCTCTGGCCCCGTGCGGGGCTGGAACTGAGCCGAGGCTTCCTGCTACACACAGAGCACTCTACCCTCGAGCCCGCCCTGGTCTGGGCTAGGGTTTGCATGGTCTGTTACGTTGCATGGTCTCAGTGGAATTATTTTTTGATTTCTGCTTGTCATTTATTTTATCTAACACCAAATTAGGTGTGCATGATTTTCTATTCAGATACGATTATTAATAGATCTTATCTCTCTCTCAATCTCTCTGTTTTTTGGTTGCTGGGTCACACCCCACTGTGCTCAGGGCTTTTCCCTGGCTTTGTTCTTAAGGCTCACTCCTGGTGGTCTCGGGTGAGCGGATGGGTTCCTGGGGATCGAACCCAGGCTGGCCGTGTGCAAGGCAGGCGCCCTCTGTATTACTGCTCTGGCCCCAGGTCCTATCTCATTTTGAAGATGAAATGTTAGGTTACTTTCAGGTTCTGATTTTTCTAATATGGTAACATATTTTTGCTCTTTCTTTTTTTCCTTTATTGGTTTAAAAAAACAGACATTTCTTTTCAGAGCTTTGGAGGCTGAAAGCCTGGAATCCAGTGTTGGTCAGGTTCCGAGCGAGAAGCGGTTCTGTGACTCTCCCTGGTCCATCCCAGCCTGTGGGTGCCGGCCTCTGCCGCATCCCGGGACTGTTCCCCGGGATCCCCCCCGCTCATCCTCCAACTCTCCGTGCCAACCTCCAAAACGTCTTATCATCTTCAAATGTTTTTTTGCTCTTTTTTTGAATTAGAATTCAAATTTAGAATTCAGTTGAGAATTTAGTATCCCTCAACTTCTGTGAAAGTCTAAAACGAAAAACATCCAGCCAAAGATAATCTCGGTTTACATGTATACGCTGGATGTGAAAACAAATGTAATTTCATAAAAAAAAAAAAAAAAACCCAGAACCGTCAGTCTTCCCAGAACTCACGGGAAGTTTCCATAAAACTCATTAAATGTTGAAATTTGTTTTTTAACACATAATTTCAAGCCACTTTAGGCTCTTGGCTCCTTTTTCCTCACACTGAAATAAAGGAGAGTAACAAGGGAAGTGAAGGACCCCAGACCAAAAGCCCAGTAAATCAGCGGATGGTGTTAGTGGCTGGTGTTCAGGGAGGGGTATTTCTGCACGAGGGGTCCTACTGTTCAGTTTCACCGTGTTGCTGATGTTCACCGAGTGACACAGGTTTATTAAAAATCTTTTGAGGTTTTTTTGTATTGACGACAATTGGTTTCTGCAGTAGCCGTCCAGTGTTTTTAAGGATAATATGATAAGTATGTCTCGTGTTAGTAGTTTGTACAAATGGCACTTTGAGAAGTAAAGAACGAAAGGACTTCACAAGCTGAGTCATAGGTGGACAGTTCTTAAGTTAATTGCCGTTCATTCTCGGGAACAAGGAAGGGGCCGTCTGAGGCCGCATCGTAAATGATCAGATCTGGGCTCCCTTCTCAGTGCCGCTGCTGAGGACGTGTGAGGGTCGAGCCACGTGGCCGCCTTAAGCTTCCGTTCTCCATCTGGAAACTTAAAAGGCCTAAGGTTCACTCCAGTTCTTGAAATTTTCCAGTTCCTGGCATTTCTGATATTGATGGTTCAGTTCGTCACATGTTCCTATTATGAAATATGCAAATCAAAAGTTAAATTATGCTTGAAGTCATACTGAGCTTCTGTTAATTAAGTAAAAAAAAAAGAAGTCCAAGTAGCTTCTAATCCATTGAAGCAGTGATGGAGCACTTTCTGCAGAGACAACCCAGGCGTGGACGCGATAGAGCCAGGGATGTGGGCGGGTCCTCAGCAGCGGCCTCGGGGTCCCCCACTCCCAAACCCCAGCAGCTTGGCGGCAGAGTGACTTCAAGTCGTGCTTTTCTCACGCATTTGTTGGGAAGGAAGGGTTTCAGAGGTTGGGGGACCACCGAGTCAGATCATGGCACATGTGTCATCGCCAGCATCTACATTCTCCTCCTCCTCCTCCTCCTCCTCCTCCTCCTCCTCCTCCTCCTCCTCCTCCTCCTCCTCCTCCTCCTTCTCCTCCCCAGTATCATCACATCTGTCCTAATATACGTACATGCATACCTACGTACACATACACACACGCACACGCATGAACCTCTTCATACTGAATGTTTCACTGCAAAACCTGTGTGCTTTCCCTCAGGGATGACCTTTGAAATTCATCAGTTAACTCGAGCCTGTTTCTCTCTCTACCTTTTCTGTATAGAGTTTGGTGAATTGTGGTTTGTGTTGCGTGAGTATTTTTTGTCTTTGCTTTTTCAAGCCTTTCAAAGAGGGCACGGACCGTCCTAAGTATATTCGGAATTGAAAAAGCTCTGCGTGTTGTGGGAGTTCGGTGGGCGATTCAAGAGTAGGAGGGTTTCCCGAAGGGCTCAAGGATAGAACAAGAGTTCCGCAGTGTGAGTGGGTCAGGAATTGAGTGGTAGACGGTGGAGGGGGGCCTTGGCCACCAGAGCTCACGGGGGGGTGGGGGGGTGTCTTCAGCCAATTGAAGAGAGGAGCTAATTGCCGTTGATGTTTGTTTATATTAATTATATTAGCTGCCTGTAGAGTTAAATGTACTCCTTTGCAGGCTGTCCAAACTGACATCATTTTCATGTTCATGCCTTAATAATTTATAATTAATATGACAATCTCATTAATATATATCGGTATTGAGGGCAATTGGTGGACCCTGTTTGGAGTGAAATATTTGTAAAACATCTCCCTTAGCCTCGTTCAGCCAGTGAGTCAGAGTTTTTGCTTCTAGCTCCCAGCTAAGGAGCCTGTTGTAGATTGATGGAAACGCCTAGAAGAGCACAAAAGAATATTTTGATTGCAGGGACTTAGAGCTGAGAATAGATTGGGAGATAAAGCATGGAGTTTGAAAGACTGGAGATTGCAGGTGTTTCAGTTTGCCGGAGACTTCCCAGAATTTAAGGAAAAAAAAAGAATTTGTGGTGGTGGGGAGGTGGTTTGGGCCCACACCTGGTTGGGCTCAAGGGTTCTTCATGGCTTGAGGGCTCTTGGCGGTGCTCAAGGTTAAACAGAGATCAAGCCAGGGCTGACCCCCAGGCAAGTCCCTGACCACTCGACTCTCTCGGCCCAGGGCCCAGTTCTGGTCATTTGCTTTATATTTTCTAAGTATTCATTCACAGTAAGGCTGAACTGTAAATTCTGATTATGTCAAGTGTGTGTTTTATCAGAGGAATTCGTGCACTTGATTCTGGGTGTTGGTTGCTTTGGAGAACAGGGAAGTGTCAACCTTTAGAAGAGTCCCTCCTTCCTTCCTTCCATTCATCCTTCCTTCCATGACTGGGATGCGCATTGTCTTTGAGCTGCCTTTAACCTACCCCTGGCCCACCTCCCCCCATCCTAGGGTTTAAATCCCCAGA